CGACTTTTGCGGCCGCAACATCCCCATCGCCGGGCTTGGTAACAGGAGGCGGCTTGGGGGTGACCAAAAGTTCCTGGCGTAGCGAGATGACAGCCTTCTCTAGCTCAACCTTCAGGTCTTCGTAAAGGCCCTCTCCAGTGTTCGAGACACAGACAACCGAGAAGCACTCGCTGTAGATAGCCTCGGAAGGTGGCAGGGTATTTGTGTCGTCGCGACTTAGCAGCCGTCCAATACATTGTCTGAGGCTTAGAGACGGTCTCGGCGGTTTGCTGCGCCGAGTCGTCCCAATAACCTGGATTTTTATGGGCTGGTTTGCACGATTTGAGCCTCGAGCAGCAGAGGGCGAGTCAGAGTCCGCATCACGGCGAGGAGTCTTGTGGGGTGGAGAAGATTCGGTATCGGTAATTGTATCCGGGATGGCCGTGAAGCCTTTGGAATGTGCTGGAAGAGTCAAGAGCTGCAGCAGCGACATGAGTGAAGGACGCCACAATGTGGCTGTGGTACCCGATTTGGCGAGCATTACGCGTCTGAATTATTCTTGACTCTTACTTTCACCATGGTACGTGTTTTCTTGTCCCCTTGGCCAGCCGAACGCATCCTGAGGCCATCCAAAGCTCCTCCGAGTCAGATCTCCCGACGGGAACTTTCGCATCGAGCTCGCACCCACAGCCGACATTTCAGAGCTGCTTGCCAAAGTTCGTGCAATTCCAAACGAGAGCGACTCCCAAACCGATGATCTTCCTAGGTTCTGGAGACGGCCCCAGATGCTGACCCGTCGAGTTTCACCATATCCAACCAACCCCGAGGAAATGAAGCTTTGTTTTCGAGCTTGAAAGGCCGATCGTTGGAAAGCTTGGGTCTCAAGTACATCTCCTCGCATTATCCAGAGCGCGTCTAATGTTTCTGAAGGCACACCGATCTGATTTTTGTAACGTATAAACCCAAGGACGGTTCTGCGTCGAGTTCTTCCGCTCAGCCCAGCAGTGCTGCCACTTCCGCCACTGGCCCGGAACCGACCCGGATATGGGAGACTGTCAAGGAAGATCCCGTTGACGTTTATTGGAGATCCCGAGACGGCAAAATTCCTCGCAGTCGGGATGCGAAATTCTGCACTCACGCCGTAAAGGGAATGTGCGATTACTGCATGCCTCTTGAACCCTACAATGCTCTTTACCACAAGGAACATAAGATCAAGCATCTATCCTACCACGCGTATTTGAAGCAAATCACCCCCAAACAGACTGCCTCCGCCACATCCATCCTCCCTCCGCTCACTCCGCTTGCTTACAAGGTGAAGGTCCCGTGTCCCAGCGGCCACCCTTCATGGCCTGCCGGTATCTGCACATCCTGCCAGCCCTCTGCTATAACCTTGCAGTCGCAGCCTTTCCGAATGGTCGACCATCTCGAGATTGCCTCGACCGACGTGATCGACCGTTTTCTGGCTGCTTGGCGGTCCACTGGTTTCCAACGTTTTGGCTGGTTGATTGGGCGGTATGAGCCGTACGACAAAGTACCCATGGGTGTCAAGGCTGTAGTCGAGGCTATCTACGAACCTCCACAAGAGGGCGAACTCGATGGCCTCACTTTAGGTTTGCCGTGGGAGGAGGAACCGCGTATTCGGGCACTGTCTGCGTCGGCCTCGACCCCATTAACAGTAGTGGGTTATATCTTCACCGATCTGACCCCGACGGAGGAGGATCGATCCAAGAACACCTACAAGCGGCATCCTGGGTCCTTCTACATGTCTTCGTTGGAAGCAATCTTTGCTGCTACGATGCAAAAGGCCAACCCGACACCATCCAAGTCGTCCCCCACCGGGCAGTTCGCTTCAAGGCTGGTGACCGCCATCCTTACCGGCACCGAGGACGGCCAGATAGACATTTCGGCGTACCAGGTTTCCGAACAGGCCTGCGCCATGGTCGAGGCTGACATGATAGAAGCGAGCGTCGACCCGGGGATTGTTCGAGTAAAGGAGGAGGATCGAACACAAGACTCGGCACGATATGTACCCGACGTCTTTTTCACTTACAAGAACGAGTATGGGCTCGAGGTGAAGAAGACCGCCAAGCCAGCGTTCCCCGTCGAGTATCTCATGGTCAACGTGAGTTTGCGCCATTTTCTACGTCCAAATCTGATTAGTTCTTGTAGGTAACCCACGGCTTCCCACAAAATCCGTCACCTTTATTCCAATCTTCGAAGTTTGCGATCGAGAACCGACCCTGGGTTGGAAGACCAGCGCGTGGAAAGCGTGATCGGTGCTCTCGCCCGACTAGATGCGCCAAATATCGTCGACAGTCGGAGCGCAAAGCCTGGGGAGGCCCACAAGCGGAGGGAGCTGGCAGCGTGGCTGAGCGATTGGCATCTTGTTGCTTTCCTGGACACGACTCAATTGTTTTCTCCTGTCGGTCTTTCTTTTCGAACTGCTGCAGGAACGACTAACATTTTTCTGTAGGAGGACGTGAAGCTGATGATGAGCATCGTAACGTCACCCACCCTGCTGGAGGACCTCAGTCAATTGGACCCACTGTTGGCAACCGAGGGCTGGAACACGCTGATGACGTTTACGCGGGAGAGCGGATGTATGTTCTCTGTCTCTTGTTGTGTTTGTTTTCTAATTCCTTCCAGCGGCTGGGCCTACATCATCCTCGAGAGACGACGACATCCCGCAGGACGTTTTCGACCAGATAGCAGCTCAAGAAGCTGCCGCAGGATCCAGCGCCGGGATCAGGATCTGCCCTCATTGTACATTCGAGAACGCGCACGGCGGTAGTGACTGCGAGGTTTGCGGCCTCCCATTGTAAATGAAAGAGCCGTGGTCGTTATTGTCGTTATTCGTATAAAAGATACAGTAGAAAACCTGATACATATAAAACGTGGATAAACAAGTTGTCTACGGTCTACTGTCCAAAGATCCACCAGGTGGCGAACGCAACTCCAAAGAGTATGCCCAATGCACGCGCGACTATGACCACGACAAGAGCTTTGCGGACTGCAGCGTAGAATGTGCTCAGTGCAGAGCCTGACCAATTTATTCTGATGGGTCGTGAGTGGGAGCAGGTACGGATCGTCGAAAACGACAAACCTTCGGTCATTTGTACCTCCACCTCTTACACTGGCCTCCCACCCACGCACAACCTCTCTATACCGCTTGCCAAAGACCCTGTATGAGGTTAGCGACGGTTTCCGAATTTGTTAAACGCGCACCATATCCAGAAATTGACGTCCGGGTACGAAAATCGCGGGAACACGCTGGCCAAACTCGGGGCGACGACGTCCATACGGATGCCCTCTGCGCCAGTCTGATACGGGAGCTGCACCATAGGCGAGATAGGCGACGAAGACCCCGAGTGGGACTTGTGAGCTTCAGAATTGTCGCGCGCATCGGAAGGTGCGAGGACCATGTACGACATCAAGTCGAGCGTCATCCCCAGCGATAAGCCCCAAAGCTTGAGTTTGTGCGGTCGGGTGGACTGCAGAATACCCTTCTCCAAGATATCGACGTTCGGTTTGCCGTCGGGGCTGACGGACGGCAGGGACGAAGGCTGCACGATGATCGCGGGGAATTCCATGCTCCCGACCAGTGCCTGGACGATGAGGCGCAGTGCAGTGGAGTGTTTAGGGGCGAGACGAGACGCGGCGTCGACAGCAACAGTGGACCATCTGGGAGGAGCATGCGCAGAAACAAGCGATGCCAGAGAGGTCCAGTGCAAGGTGGTTGAGGGGGTCGGGTCAGGAGGAGGGGCGTTTGGCGTCAGTTGAAGAAAAACAAAGGGCGAGAGAATCATTAAAAGCCGCTTTCCCAACGAGGTCGTAATCTCCCTGTCATCCAGCTGTCCAATACAAGTATAGTCTTTTTCGGCGAGGTCGATCCCTATTTCCTCCCATGTCTGCCGCATGGCTGCCATGTGCGCTGGTCAGAAAAAATGGGCTGGGCAGGAGCGCAAGACATACCGGTGTAGAGCCCGCCTTCGTCGTCCGCTTCCATTCTGCCGCCAGGAAACGCGACATGTGCCTCCTGCGTATTACGCATTCTGCTCATAGCCGAGTCTTCTGGAGCGGGATTTTCACGCTGCAGAAACAGAATCTCGGGGCGAGCAGCCGGGTCATTTACCCAGTCGAGCTCGAAGAAGTCGGAGAGCGTGACCGGATTCGAAGACGCCGGAGGCAAGACAGCGTTTGGGGAGGGGACCACGCGGATGATGAGGGAGACAGCTGCTCTGCGGGGCTCTGAAAACGGGGGGTAAATGGAAAATCGAAGTAGAGGTGTCAACACGCGCACGGGTTGGGGGCGACGCGATTATGCGCGGCGGGGTGGTGCGGATTCGGTGAAGGGCTCTGGAGAGCAAAGGCACGATGGTTATTGGTTTCTCTGTGAATAAAAGGTCGGTATATCATAGCAGCGTTCGTTAGAGCATATACTCACCAGCCATATGGAGGAGGCAAGTCGAAAGGTCGAGAGCGTCAATTTCTTGGGGATTATGTCATCTTTATGACAAGCCATTTCAAGTACAATGGCCAGCCGCAGCAAGTGATGCCTCGAATGCGCACAAGGACATGCTCAACGTCGTCCACCCGGTGTAGATGGATGGCAGAATGAACGAGAAGTGTGCATCTGATATAAGTACTTCGGTGGCTATGTGATCTTGGCTGGCAGTCAGGCCGCCGCGCAACCAGGAGATATCTCGGAGGCATACTACTTATCAGCGCGCCGAGCGACATGTCTGCATCTGAGCTTGTAAAAAAAATGCCATCAAAATTAATGCCGCCCTTTGCATTCATCCATCTTCCGCCGGCAACTCCATGGCACCTTTCACAGAGCGCGAATAGATCTGAAAATATTTAGGCATGGGATTTATATGAATAGGTTGTTTCTTTGAAAATTTCAGCGCAATCCGAGGCTCAGGCCTTCCCAATCTCGTCGAAAAGCTTTTGCCCTCTCAGGGCGCAAAACAAAAGTAAATTCGGAAGTCCAGAAGGGCTCAGAAGATCACTAACTAGCAAGGTCGTGCCCGGGTTCGAACCGGGGTTACGAGAAGGAGAACAAGATGGTTTCAAAATCTCGAGTGATAACCACTACACTACACAACCAGTTGAACAGCAGAAAAAAAGAGGGCTTTTTAATCTGTACAGAGAGAAGAAAGCTTCAAGGATTCCAGTATGAATGTTTCAGGGCCAACCAAGGGGGGCCAGAAGCGGAGTTCCCCTGACAATCTCAACTGTCCCTACTTGCCACTATCAAGAAAAATATTTGCGCCTTTGATAGGAAATAAATCGAGACAGGGCTCGAATGGAAAAAAAGAGAAAAGGAAGAAAGTCAAGGAGAAAAAAAGGTCGTGCCCGGGCTCGAACCGGGGTTACGAGAATATTACGCAAGCGTCAAAATCTCGAGTGATAACCACTACACTACACAACCAACGCACTCAAGCATATTCGAATAGAGTATAGCATCCCTTTCATTTTGCGTGCACTGAAATGGCTTGGTTCCTACAACCGGAAATAGCTTGAACCAACACCACCTACGATGTTTGCACCTGAGTCTTTTTGCTGGCAGTAGGACTCCGGAGGAAGGAAGGAAGGCAGTACGTGAATTTGATGTTCACGTACACAGCCACCGCACGCCGGATCAACCCAACTGTGAGAATAGCTGAGAATCAACGGGATCGCCTCTTCGCTTCCTTTCTTCTTTTCACATTTGGTTTCAACTTTCGAGTGCTTTACCGCTTTACCAGACTTTGCCTGCGTTAGACAACAACTTCATTCCTGAATCTCGGGTGCTCGGGCATCCTCATCGCCAATCAAATTTTATAACAGCTCCCGACGGCGATCCTCTTTTCCGACCCAGCTGCATGCCTTGCCAACGCCAGTGCTGGTGGCTTGCTCTTCTCTGGCTCTGCGTGGCCGCACATGCGAAAAATGACCTGGGCTACCTGGAACAGGTACGCGCCCCTGGCCGAAAGCTTGGAACAGTGTCTCAATTGCGTCCAGACGTTTTATTTCGACTACAACGTTGCCTCTCAGGCTGTTGCAGTTCCCGTAACGAGTAAGAACCGTTCTTGAGGTCCTCTACCCGATTTAAACGTCGATTCGCAGGTCAGTGCGACACCATCCATCTCACCTGGGGTCGAGGAGCGGGTACGGGGTATGTTACTTTTTTCAGCCCGACTAGATTTTCACCGGGTGTATATTTCAGTCCAGACCCAGCTGCTCCATATTATCTGCAAATTTACACCTCGTATGTCTCCTGAAAGCTCCGGCGCGACCCTTGACATTGTCTTCCGTAGTGCGTTTGTATTCCCATTCGTCGTGTCGGCTGGCAGTGGCCTGAGTTTTGTGCGTACTCTCGTCGTGGCTTCGTGCATTACTCAGGCTACTGGAACAGGACTGGGAAGTTCCCTTTGGTCCTGGAACCCTTTACCAAATATGCATGGTACGTCCTTGGTTCGTTGCTTCGGCATTCACCTCATGTCTTGCACAGTTGGACAGCAACGGGAATACAGGCATGTCCCTCACGACGTGCTCTATACACTCATCCGCTGAACCACTGAACCATACGCAGGTGGCTGCCAAGCGATTTACTCGATGATCGCAAATACGACTGCAACCCCATCGTGCAGCAATGTTACTTTTCCCCTTGGGCCGCTTGACGTGGAAGCTGTCACTAACATCGGCGCGCTGTCACAATATGGCTGGGTTGACCAGGTACATGCTCGGCGTACCAAATTTCTGGCCCTGCTGATACATCTCGGCAGTGTACAGATATACAGGTCACCCCAAAAAACGGCACGCCTGTGAGAATTCTTTTGTCAACTTAAAATGTCTTGAGCGAAATTAACATCTATATACAGCCCTATATTTTCACGGTGAGCCACTTGGCGGGCTGATAATCGCACAGTCTTGACGAGAAATAATATAGGTTGCCCCTACCCTTCACCCGCCACAAAACAAGACTGGGACAGATCAAAGCCCTATGAACTGGACAGTCAACCTGTCTTGGGGATCGCCATTTTTCATCAGCGTTGTCGACGCGGACATGAATTTCTGGGCTTATGGACCTCTGCACAGCGGCGAAGGAACCTCGACGGCCTGCCTTTCCGGGACCAAAGTGTAGGTTAATCTTGGATTCACGCATGTTGTCATTCTCACTCTGACAAGGTCAGCACCGAATATGGTTTCTGTTGTGACTGCTCTTGTTTCTGGGATCGGGGGTCTGCTCGTAGGGTTGATCGCAGGATCAGTCGGTGTGTTTGCCTTCTATCGCCAACGACAGAGACGAACGCGGCACACTCCATTGTTGAATCCAACGGGATCCGAAGGGTATACGGACCCTTTTCTTTTACGTACTCCGACTTCCGCCCATTACCAGGCGGTACCCACACAGCTACCCCATGACATGTCTTCCTCGAGTCTGTCTTCGTCCCCAAGCTACATCGCCATGCAGCGGATGCAAAAGGAAGGCAGTCACTATCAAGTCGAGCCATTCACTCCGCCAGGGGACAGACGACATTCTTCGTACGGCAGCGAGTTGAACGGCGAGCCCCATCACGCCACCAGTTCCACAGCAGCTAGTGGCAGCGCCGGTAACATATACGTTGTGCATCACGATGCTGGAAGGGCACCTGTAACCGTGTATCACCAAGAAGGCAGCGAAGTCGTCGAACTGCCTCCGCGGTATATCCCCGACTCTTCCGAGTCTGGTTCTGCCACGAATGATCTTCGAAGATTATCTGCTGTCGCTACCGATGGAAGGACGACCCCATATTCTGCCAACGACCTTGTTTCCCCGCCTCGTAAACCAAACAGGCCACGGAAGCCATGACCGAACGAACATAGACTTTACTTACGGACCTCCATATTTTACATTATCATCTGGGTATCTCGCTGTAATAAATGCAAGGTTGTATTGTCATCCGACATACACTCCGATAGGGCACATTTTCCAGCTGGAATTGACGTCGAGCAATCGCCAGCCGGATGTAAATGTAGTATCTGACATCTCGACAGCAGCTGTGTCGGAGGGGTGCAATTCCGTATTATTTCAGAGACCGCCAAAAGGGTGGCCAGCCGCTCGTTCATGACGGCGATGTCGTCAGAAGTCCAGTCCTTGAGCATGTGTGAGTTTCCTCCTCCGACAAGAAGACAACCACATACACGAGCTACTGGGCCAGTTTGAGGACGAAGCAAAATAGATAGCGCTGCATCCATCTCAGGGTTCCCAGCGCAGAGGGCCTGCAGCAGAGCCGTCGCTCTGGCAAATTCCAGTGTAAGTCATATAGTTTGAAATAAAGAGAAAACTGGTACGCTGCAGTGTCCTTGCTCAAACTAGAGCTCGGGCCCAGACCAGTGATGAGCGAAATTATAGTGTCTCTTTTCAAGTCGAGATCAGATTCGGAGTTTTCTACATCCCAATTTTCGATCGTCCACATTGCCCACCGAGCAAGGCATGCGTCGTAAGTCGTGTCTACTGCGATCGGGACCATATCAAGTTGTGGGGGCTCAGCCAAAAGATGCGAGACGATCCTGCTTGACAGGATGGCTGGAAAATCCGAGTGCAATGTATGCAGGTCGGAGAGTAGAGGCGCCCAGAGCTCGACGGAGAACTTTGGAGGTAAGAATGAATCAGCGGGGAATGTGCGTTTTCTGGGTTCCAATTGTTAGTTATATGAGATTATAAGATCGTGAGTCGTACTTTTTGGAAAGCGGGACGAGCGCGCCCTTCTCCAGTAGCGCATCACAGAGTCCTTTCCAACGCCCACCTCTCCTTCGCGCTCTGGTCGCCTTTTCCGGAGGTACCCCATCCCAGTTCACCGACTGCGACATTGGCAGATACTGTCGCCTCCGCGATCCACCGTTCTACATCTCTGAGAACGCCTTTGATTTCTTGCTGATATTGCGATCTGAGGGAAGTGTCTCGAATGACTATTTTGCGGAGGGACTTGTATTGCTTCAACATGGGAGCGAGAGACCGCAACGGCGCGGATTGCGGCGGGACCACGGTCGACGGGTTAATTGTGGGCAGAAAATAATTGTGCAGCAGCCATGTCATCGACTAAGGTTGTTATTAGACAGCGGTATGGAGACGATAGGTAGTCCAGGTAGGTACCTCCCGAGCAGCTTGTCGAAGCAACTCTAGACTAGGAAGGTCTTCATGTGTCGCAGCATGCCGCAGTTCCACGAGCCAAGGCGGAAGACCGAGCTGATTTGCGATAGACGCTATGGATCGGGCGTACGCTCCCAGCTGGAGCGGATCGACCAGACCATTCACCAACCTTATTATCGCGGCCGCGTAAGTGTGTCGCAAAGAAAGGTACGACGATGGCTGCGGGTCTGAGGCATCCTGCATTAATGCGGAGAGTAGAGCCAATGTCGATTCGAGCGCATGAGGAAGGGATGTTATTGCCCTCCAAGCGGACAACTGCAGATGTTTTTTTCAGAAAACGACAAAGTGTTGGCTTGAGCACGAACACGGTTGATTGCTTTGGTTTTTGACTCGAAGTCGGTCTCGTCTGTGTAGACCCAAGCGCATAGCTGGTCGAGCTCTGCAATCGACGTCCACGGAACCCTACGAGGTAATCTCATTGAAGGTGTTCGGCTAAAGTTTTGAAAAGTTGATGAGATCGGAAGGGTACTACTGTCCACGTGACTCAACGTCGGGTACCCATTTCTTTACGAATGGCGGGGAGAACGGGACTCGCTGGCTGCTTTTCTCAGAAAATCAAGTAGATATCCCGGCACGCTCAACAAAAATTTGACGCGTCGATACTGCGGCTTCCGCACTGTATCGAAGTTACTTCTTGGCGCGCATCAAAACGATCACATGCCCGTGGTTCATTTTCCCGCTTCCCGCGCGATACCTCTTGCTTTCTTCCGCCTCGAGACGATCGGCTTCTCGGAAAAAAGTCTGGTTAACGAAACAAACGCGACACCTCTTGCACGATCCTTCACGTCCGCTTACGATGCCTCTTGACACCAGAGGAATTATTTCTGCTGCCCAGTTGGGGGCATACGTCCCGATTGCTGGTGTATCACTCTTTTTGGTTATCCGATATGCTTTACGACGAGATGCTGGATGGCTCTTCCTGTTTATTTTC